ATGAGGGATCATAAGGCACTTGGGAAAACAGCCGAATGTAAGGCTCTGTTCCTAGGAAATGACATATGAACTGCACTAGTCACAAAACAATAGTTATCTCACAGGAGAGAATTGAAGTCTCTCATTGAGCCATTCTGTGCATTCTGAGAGACACTGTTCACCCTTTTTTCCCCCTTTGCTCTTCACTTCTAAAGAAAATTGAGTAACAGAGTAGCCAGACCAAAGAAGAACCAGAAATAAAGAAAGGTATAACCACAGGCAGTGGTATGTTTTACTTAAGTTAACATAGTTCTACTACAGGCACATAATAATATAGACCCTCAACTTAGGACATTATTCTATGGCAAATTGTTCCAGCTCATCCAAATCAAGCCTGGGCCTTAACCTAATGCTTCCCACACAGGTTGTCAATAGGATTGAGATCTGAGCTTTGAGAGGGCACTCCAGTACTTTGATTTTGGTGTCTTTCAAAACGTTTTGGACCAACTTGGATATGCGTTTTTGATCATTGTCTTGCTGGAAGACTGAGCTGGACTGGCAGCAGATTTCATCACATTACCCTTCAAAGTGTCAGCATAATCTTACTTCATGACCCCATGCACTCGAACATGGTTCCTTGTGCCTGAGGCAACAAAACAGCTCCACAGAATTATGCTCCCATTATCATGTTTAACTGTGAGAACTGTGTTAAAGGGTTGAAGGCCTGCCTCTTCCTTTATCAAACAAAGGCAACATGTGCCCGAACAGCTCTAGTTTTTTCTCGTCAGACTAAAGGATAGACTTCCCAAACTTATCCCCATGTTTCAAATGGTCACGTGCAAACTTCAGTCTTGCTTTGAAGTGCCGCTCTGTGAGCAATGACGTTTTCCTTGGATGATGACCTTGAAGCCCACTACGATGAAGAGCCCTCACAACAGTTTTCCTTGAAACTTTAAGTTCAGAAGAAGCCAGTTCAGCAACAATCATCTTTGCAGATATCTGGGGGTTCTGGTGTAAATTCTGATGATTTTCCTCTCCAAAGACTTTGATATCTTGCACTTGCGATCATGCCCAGGTTTGTTTCTAGCAGAATGTGTCTCCACGTACTTTGTGATGATGCAATGTACAGCTTTTCTGGACACTGTGAAATGCTGGGAAATGGCAGTATAGACATCCCCTTCAAGATGGGCATCCACTACCTTCTTTCTAAGGTCCAGACTTATTTCTTTGCTTTTTGGCATGATGACATTACTTGTTACAATGAATGTAAAAGTGTTTTCTTTCAATCTAGCCTTGAAGCCCTGTTCATTGGAGTCCATTTTGTAGAGTTCTGCTGATTAATTGCACCAATCAAGTCAGATGGGGTTCAGGTGTGGTTTGAAAGCTGAAAATTTCAATTTGATAGAAGAATTCTAATGGGGGCTAATAATTTTGACCACCACAATTTTCAATATATTTTTATACAGGAATTTTAAAGATTTTTTTAAAAATCCAAAATGTATCAAATGGAGGCCTTTACACTGATGAACGTTTTATTCTGTAAAGTTTTACAATTGATGTTAACATTGGGCAGTTTTAGGAAAATGTTTCATATCATCATAGGGGCTAATAATGTTGACCTTAACTGTATATCTATGAGTTCTAACCGCTGCAAGATTGTTTTGATATGTATTTCACTTCCCACAGTCAGCAGTAATGCTTCTGTTGAAAACAGTACACAGAGTGTTGTTCTGATTAGTCAGACTTGATTACTTGATTAAAAATTCCCTTCTTGATGAATCAGCAGTGATTGGATGGCAGTTTGCATTATGATAATGCACATTTTAAATTCCCCTACTGGTCTCTCTTACTGCAAGAAACAGAGCCATCATAGATGACTTTTTCTGACAAAATATTTGGGAATCTTTTTATTGCTTCCAGCTGCTGCTAGTGCAGCGAGGCTCCTGACTGGTACCAAGAAACTGGGGAGCATCACCCCTGTACTAGCGTCACTGCACTGGATACCAGTAAAATACAGAATTTAATTTGAAGTTTTATTATTCGTTTTTAAAGCTTTGCCTGACTTGGCTCTGAGCTGTATCTCTGACCTCCTCTGATTTCATGCCATCTCACAAGCCCTATGATCTTCCAACCAGTTGCTCTGAGCCATTTCACACTCTCAGATGAGGTTCAAAGGTGACTGGGCCTTTTTGTAGCTGCCCCCAAGACTCTGGAACAGTCTTTGCTATTCATTAAGGCATCCCCCACAATACATATTTTTAGTCAAATTTAAAAACCTTCTTATTTTCTCAGGCGTTTGAGTCCTTTTAAAGACTATGGACTCAGTCTTCTGTTCTGTTTTGACATCAGTAGCTCTTCTACTTTGTTTTATTGTTTTTTTATTTGATTTGTTTTTATATGCATGCTATTTTTCCATATTAAATTTATTGTGCAGTTTCGACTGGTCATTTGGTGTTCATTTTTAGCTGATTTTATTGTGCAGCACTTTGTGTGACACTTCTTGTCTCTGCTGATTTTGAACAATTCAGCAAAAAAGCTGAGTGCAAAACATGCAGTAAAAGTACAGCTTACCCCATACAGGCAGGTTAATTGTAACAGATCATGGCTGTAACAGTTGCTAAAAAGTCTGGAAAATCATTGCAAAACACAATTAATTCAGCATAGTATGTTGTTTAAACCAGAAAAGCTTTTAAATATGATGGATTGACTACAACGCAATTATTAGCAAAATACAACTGAAAAATATATATTTTCACATATTATTAATAGATGTTTCTGACACATCCGTAAATAAAAACTCCAATGGTCTGTTTTGAATTTACATGGACATACATGGACTTCTCTCATTGTTGACTTTAGAAAGCTTAGCTGCAACAGTGTTAAAACTAACTCAGCCATGTGGAGGTTGTACTCGGCTGGCTAGCACTCACTGTGGCTTTTTTACATGCTTCAAAACAGTTATTTTACAGCCACCAAAAAGGAGATTAAACCTATAAAAAAGGAGATTAAACCAATACAGTAAATTATACAGACAACTATGTAACCTAAAAACATGCATGATAAAAAATTACTTTCATGGAATAAAAACAGTCGTCAGTGTTAATCTTGAGAAATATCTGTGTGACTGTTATCAACATTGCTATGGGAATATGATAACAACTCAAAGCAGGTTCTACTCAACTCTGTTTAACTGCATAAAATATCTATGTTAAACTTTACCTCGAGTTGGCCAGCTTCTCTCTTTGTATGTGTGTTTGAGAAGAAGCCTGTTTTCTTCTCCATTTGCTATAAGATCGATAAACAGAGATTGCAATCAGCTATTTGAAGCCTTGCTAGGCCACAGTCACAGCAGGAGCATTCTGTTTTAAGTTCACAGATCCACCTCCACTGTTTTTCCATTACGTCCTGCCACAATCGTGAACCATGTTAGGCATCTCTCATTATTTGCAGCATCTCTACATCTCACTTGCAGATGGTTTTGGTTGAGTCTTCCAGCAATTTTTGCTATTAAGCCTGACCTTGAACCCCACACACATTAATCATAAAGAAGGCAAACTTACACTTCCTGAATCATCTGACATATCCTGAGTAAAGCCATGTGCATGTAGGCATATATCACACCAGGCTGTTAACAAGGAAATATAATACCGTATGTAATAGTAAAAATAACAAGCAGTCTTACAATTACAGACAAATTTATTAGCACTAGTGCTTTCCACTGTATCATCTGAAATCAACAATAAAAATGATACTTTTACAGTTTTGATTAAAAACAATAATTGGACAGAAAACAAATGAGTCTGGACAGTATTATAGCCATCTAGGAACTAGTCGATAGCTGGAAATATTCAATTTGGCCACAAACAGTAAACACTGCTGAAAAATGTCCAGCTCTTAGAGTCCTGCAAATTCTGGATTCCATGTAGCAACTAGATTACTGTAATTTGATGTCAGCTTCCATTAAGAAACAGACTTTGAGAACTTACTCCAGACTCCCTGAACTTTAAACAAAAAACTAATCTCATCTACTTATAGCTTTACCTGTTCAGAAACTGCTTTGCTACTTTCACTCACCATAAATAAAGTCCAAATAATCCCTTTGACTTCTGAATGTGAAAAAGCAGACCATGTTGTATGTTAAATTACTAGTGTAATATGATAGACCAGCGCCCCCTTCTGTACGAATGAAATGCATTCATTACTGAGAAATACTTAGACCACATCAGCACTAATAATCACTCTAATTACGGACACTACAGTGATATAACATTACAAGCAAATGAGTGTGTTATGTAACCATATCAGGCAGAGCTGAATGAGCTTATTAACGTGTTTGTTTATACTGCACTTAGAACACAGTAGGCTTAAAATTTTTTAATTTAAAAAAGCTCAATTATTTAGCTTTTTTCCTGTAATGAGAGACCTTTATAAAGCGTCACATACTGGTCCTCATCAGCTGTATTGTGCTACAAGTCAGCACAATTTAGATGGCTTTTTGGTTTTATCTTGTTTCAATCACTAAGACATTTTAAATTAGCCACCGTTTAACGAGGTCCTCTGCACTTCTGGAAGTTAATCCAAGCTATGTTAAAAGGAGTCAGATGGAGTTCTTACAATTTCTTCTTGAAATCTGTGAAAAATGAGGCAGAGTATGGGAAAAGTTGGCCCTTAACATCACTTACAGTCCAGAGGTACCAAATACAATACTGTACAAGTCATAGACAGACTAACCTTTATTTATTTAATTTCCATTCAATACTTAAGATATTCATTTTTAAGCATCGGAGAAAGCAGAAAGCTTACGTAACAGAAGAAGCCTCAACAACCAAAGAATATTTGGCCTGTCCAGCAAAAATGTGCTCAATAGCTAAGTACACTAGAAGAGAACAGTAGATTCTATAAAAAGTTTAAAACACTCAGTGAGGCTGTAATAGAACCATATGGGTCTCTATAGGAACTTCATAGGAAAACTTCAGAGATAAGCAGGCAAAACACATGACAGTCGAAACATGAATGTGAGCATTAAGGTATATTTATTTTTACTGGAAAACATTTACATATATGGTACATATTATTCATACACTTTTCACATCTTGAGCAGTCTTTGATCCTTCTCCGCTTTCCATTTTCTACATCTGACCAAAAACCATTATAGGACCTTCCTGAATAGTCAAACAGTAAAACTCTGTAGTGCTATTGTTCATAATAATCATAACAGATCACCAATAATACTTTGAATATTCAAAACGAACAAGTTATCAGAATCATCATCTTCCGTCCGTAATGGACCCTGGTTACTCTTTTCAGTTATACTGCATGCAAAGTGCAGATGAGATCTGGAGAGCTTGACAAGAGGCTCTGACAAAACCACAAAAGCAAGAGACAAACAACAAAAGGAACAGCAATTTCTCCATCTGTAACTGAACATATATTTTACACTAAAGTGCAAACAGACTGTACATTGTGTGTATTTATTGAATGATTTTATATATGTATTTGTTTTTATATAATTGACTAAAAGTTGTCTTGTGAGAAGACTGAGGCACATGTTAAAACCATTAAAACAGTGAAGAACAATACATTTAAAAAGCTTAACACTGAGAACAGCATTCATCTTTTCCATTCGCACCATTTGGATTACTTCATCAATATCCAGTTCTTCAGTCCATGTATTTTAGATTTCAGTGCCTCTGTAAAGACAAATATAACCACTGGTCTGCATGGAAATTCACTCTAACTCAGTAGCCATATTTATTTTGTGCTGCCATCAAACTCCAGTGATACCTATGTTGAAAATGTTTAAGTATGTTTTGAATTATAATACAGTATCTGTATTATAAATATCCAGTTGTGTTATCATTCAAAATTTAGATTGGAACAGAGGAGATGAGTTAAAGAGTCAAAGCAAGACCTTACCACAAAGGGCACATGCAGTTATTGTTCTCTCTAAACGAAGGAAACACTTCCACCCTTATAACAATTAGTACAACTAATTTGACTTAATTAATTGTTTTTTTCCCCACATGTTTAAAAGGAGAAATGTTCACCGCACGGAAAGTACAGCCATCTTACACATAATCTTCAACCCCACTTGTGTGTCGCTCTGTCCTAAAATTGTGACAGATCTGGAGACATTCGCTCCAGAACGGCTAATGCAGTTATGCTTCATCCATTCACATCTGCTGAGACTACTCTGCAATTATTCTTGATAAAATACACTGTGGTTTTATTTTGGCCTGAGAATTTGAAATACTTAGTATTAGCTGAAATAAACTTCTGATTGTTTTTTCTAAAGACAGAGTGATCTTAGGACAAGGAATGGAAGAGTAAGAGACAGAAAGAAGGACACCTTTCACTTTGCAGTCATCATTTGCACGAACTCTGAATGGAAAAGAGATGCAAACTGATTAGAATTTGTGATTGCTGTACATTAAGGGCTATACTCTCAGCGTTGTATAAGAGCGTTCTTAAAGTACTAAAAGTAGAACCAAGATGAAAACTAAAGCACAACATAATTTCTGAATATTCTTTTAAGTTAAGCTTTTTGACAAAAGTTTAGATAATCTATCCAAAAATATTCTGCAATCCTGTTCTTCAGTTCTGATCTCAGTCAAAAAGCATTTAACAGGTAATGCTGTACAGATCTACTAGACATAAATGAACACAGCATTGCCCTACTCCCTTTTTAAGCCTCCAGTTTAATTCTCAATGGATCAGTTGTTATTCAACCCGTTAGAGCAAGCCATTCTATAAAGCAGATCATTTATTTTCCATCTGCCAAAGGAACAGGAAAAGCAGCTAACCAACGCAACAGTTCAACATTTTGACTTTGTAAGCAGTAATGTTGTTTACAAAGGCACTTTAGTCTGGTCTGGTAACATAAAAATCTGAGAGAATCTAAGACTCAATTATGAAGCTTACCTTCATAGTTCACTTGCCCATCACCATCAATGTCAGCCTCTCAAATCATCTCATCCACTTCCTCGTTCGTCAACTTCTCACCCAGGTTAGTCATAACGTGACGCAGTTCAGCTGCACTGATAAAGCCGTTTCCATCCTGTGAGCAAGATAGAAATCTTGGACTGATCAAGATCAAATGGCCACATCACTCAGGATGTTCAAACTAAGTTCACTCTCTAATATCCACACACAGTGATACAGAACAGACCTGTTCTTGTCTGGAGATGAACATGATATAAACAGAAGGTTAAGCATACTACTTAGCATTTATAGATTGGTAAACTAAATTAATTTGGCACTACAATCTGAGGGAACACACATTCATGGCTTAGCACGTTTCCCTACCTTGTCAAAGACTCGGAAGGCTTCTCGGATCTCCTCTTCACTGTCTGTATCTTTCATCTTCCTGGCCATCATTGTTAAGAACTCCGGGAAGTCTATGGTTCCATTGCCTGTGGACGTATCTTGTTGTCAACACTACAGCAAAAGATCAAAGGCCAAAAAAAGCAATCCAACAACCATCTTTTCATCTGCTACTTTAAGGGCTAAACCTCCAGAACCAGTCTCACCATCAGCATCCACTTCATTAATCATGTCCTGCAGCTCAGCCTCTGTGGGGTTCTGGCCTAGAGAGCGCATCACAGTGCCCAGCTCTTTGGTAGTGATGGTACCATCGCCATCTTTGTCAAAGAGGGAAAATGCCTCCTTGAACTCTGATGGATTGAAGAGAAATTTAACAATACCATTAGTTTCAGTGCCAGCAACAAGGTTATGCTTTGAGTGAAAGTCAGTGAATTAAATGGACACTTTAGCCAAAATTAAAAATCTAACAACTGCTACATCTGTTGTAAACATGCCTAATTGCCTCCTACAGCAGTGCTGCAGTAGTTGCTAGCATGGGAGTTTAAAACTAGGGAAACCCCCTTCTAATGATGTATCTTAAAAGTGGAAGAAATTCTTGAAAAATAACGACTGCTTTGAAGTGACTTTAGGGGGTAGGCTGTTTTGATTTTTTTTTATCTGCTGAATGCAGAAAAACAGCAGATAGCTAATGTTACTGCTAGGAAGCTAAATGTCTTTTTGCAGCTGTGTAACTGCAGTAACCATCTTAAAACCATCACTATAACAGAGAAAATGAATTATTTAAGCTAAAGAAATGATTTGACAGATGTGGAGGACAAGAAACCAAATGCCAACACTAGCAACGTAGCAGACTGTAGATACCTTACCTGAGTTTGGCTTCTTTTTCTTTGGCTGAAAAGATGGCCGCTTCAGGGTGAATAAAAATATGCAGAATGAAAACCGAATTGCTGTTTTTTTTTTTTAAAGATTTTGTTTGACAACACAGGTAAGAGTTACACTAATGCTAACTTTGTTGTATTTATTATCATATAGATTGGTGGCTAGAGCAGCCAAGAATGATTAAAATCACAGGGATTTCCAAATTGTTTTACAATCTCAGAAAAAAAGGTATAAAACTGTCACTGGGGCAGCACCCCTCTTGTACCCTTGAGGGTACCACTCCAGTGACATCTCAGTACATTTAGTCAGGGAACATAACTGTACCATAATCCACTGAAATTATATTTTGAGTTGTATTGATTCCACAACCCCTGTCTTGCCTCCAGTCTTTTTATTTTATTGTTCTGTTTTAAAACATTAGGTTATGAAAAGGTACAAATATGTACTTTTCCACTAGGAAAAACTTTTGAAGGTAAAGAATTGGACCTTAAAACCACAGTTTTACCTTTGAGGGTACATTTACATTGTTTGTACCTTGATGAACAAAGAATGTGCCTGCACAGAACCTTTATTTCTAACAGTGTATGTTGTATCTGCATAATCCACAGGAGTGAGACAACTTTGAAAGTGCCAGCTGCCTTTGCCATGGTATGAACATTTCATGATAAATGAATGAACAAAATGACTTACAATAAAACCACATTATATTAAAATAAATTAAAAATACATGTTTTTTCTGCTATAAAGTTACAGAGATGCAGAGAAGTTTATTTTTAAACAATAGTGACAATATGCTGGATATGTAATCTGTACAACCTAAATTGAGGGATGGAATTAATGCTAACAGAGTCCACTTACCAGCAATCTGTTCCTCAGTCAGCTGATCTGCCTGTTACAGACAGAAAGAGAAACACAGATTCAGTGCAGTGTCACACTCCAATTGTGGAGCACTCTCACACACACACACACACACACACCTCTGACTTAGAGAGTGTAACGAAGGACATATATAAATTCTCCTCAGCCTGAAATAGCCAAGCCAAGCATAATTAGAGAGTGCCACTAAGAGGGTCATCAATGTAGCACACATAAAATGATTTCACTTCTCTATGACAGTTCATTAACCAGCTGCTAAAACTGGGTGGTTTCAGTTGGTGACACTTTGTTTTAAACATAAGCTCCTCAGAACACATACCTCATCTAAAGCCTACTGACAGGCTTGCTTCTATCTGATGTTCCATGAGTGCAAGTGCAGTAGTTTTTTCCGCTTATAAATCCCACTACCCACCATTGATTTAACTACAGTGTTAAAATAAGGTACTCCAGATATGCTTTCCAAGTTGAATACGCTTTCTGGGCAACAGCTAACAAACGATCCCACTTCTGTTTGTGTTGACAAAAGGTCCACAAATAGCTGGACCTTCTTGTAGAACAGAAAATTACAGGAAATGAATGCTGTTATACCCTCAGTCATGCAACAATGTCTGATGCAAGGGAAAAAGGCCATGGTATAAACAATATGACATGACTGCAGACAATTTACAATCCAACAACCATCTGCACACAGCAGAGAGAAGGAAAGCAACCTCACATGCATTTGTAACTTACTTACTAAATAGCTTTTTTGTATGATATTTATTTCAATGGGGCTAAATGCAGGTTAAAGTAGATAAACCGCATGGCATTTCAGCAGCTGGGATGTATATCCCTGTTTTTCTTTCAATTTAGACAAGCCAGACTTTGGTCAAGGGCCTTAAACAGTATTTTTAATGACTGCAGCAATTCCAGAGCAAGTGAAGCATGAGGAGACAAATGTTTGTCACGCAACAACAGTCCTCCAGACCTCAGAGTTGCATTCCAATGTGGAGTGTGCATACTGCAGCTCCAGCCAGTGATCTCAAAGGTACCCTGTGGCTGGGAATTATCATCATGATTACAGTTACTACGGGGTGGGCCTGCTTTGCACCCCGAATATGGGTGGGCATACAATTTTAAAGCAAGCAGTAGGTAACCATGACAGAAGTCAACCTTTATCAGTATCACGTCAAACATGCTGTTACTTCTTGTTCCTCTTATTACTAAGACATAAATCAGTGATCTGGAAGAGAAGTCACTCTAAACACAACATGTCCAAGAAAGACAAGTTTCTTGTATGTGCAAAAATACTTGGCCAGGAAAGCCTGATTCTGACTCTGATCTTGGATGCAAACAGCATCAGACATCAGATGTGCAGCGCACAAAGGAGATTAAGTGTATTATAGCAAGAGTGGCAATGAATACAATGCAACTCAGATGTATTTTGACTTGAAAATGTCCTTGGAATAGTGAAGAAGACAGGACAAGACTTCAAACAGGTCCTTTAAACAATGAAGAAGAAGATAGGACATATCCTTTAAATAGTGTTTAACACTTTTTAAGAGGACACTTCCACATAAAAATGTACTGAGGAGGCCCGTTTCTACGAGTTTGCACAAATCCACTTAGTTGATATGATTTCGCTCGTCAAAGGCAGCCAGGCTGCCACAGAGTTACTGCAGATCCAGCGTCAGGGTGCAGCAGATAGTTTGGTTCAATGCAGGGACAAGGAGGAGGGGGAGGTGGGCTGGCAGCAACCTGTAGACTCCGTCTGCTGCCAGCGTGAGCCAGCTCACCTTAGATTCAGGTAAAAGCCACACTTTATGCCGAAACAACTTGTAACCGGGCTGCGTGAAAGAGAACATGAGTTCTGTTTGTCAATGAATGAGGTTAAAATCCACCTCCTGGTCCTCGGATTACACCACAAACTGTTACGCCCAGACAAAGTAATTTCGTCTGTACACTTTACTCAACCTGTCGGCTTGTAATCTCGCTAGCCTGTTAAATAAAACATTGTCCTAATTTATTAGGAGCTAAATTAACGGCTGCCAGCCATACTTCGTGCAGAGAGCTACCTAACGATAAAGTTGATGTCAGCTGTGTGTTTACAGTTATTTTATCACATGAAAACACTTTAGTAGTAACGTTAGTTTTCACAGTAAGACTGTATTGCAGTCTTGTCTTCACTGAAGCGCCAAACACTCTCCAAGCGTAGCTAACTAGCTAGCCAGGTGGCTAGTTAGGTGTTACCTGACCAAGTTCCTGTCGGAGTCTTCAGCCAGTTTACAAACAAACGGTGTAACACTGCCTTCAAGTCCTCCTAGGCAGTTCCTTCCTACGAGCTTGATTTGTGTTTAAGTTGCTTTGGTCGGAAACAAGACAGATGTGTTGAAAATAGCGTTAATATTTTAACGTTACTTGTGTTTTTCTGACATTAAAGAGTCTTATTTGTATAATGTATTTTTATTTTTATTTACAGTTACAGCAACAGAACTGCAGAGCAGAGGATGCGTATGAGAAAAAGTAGTGTTTTTATCCAGTTAGAAGCATCTTATATCATGTGTTTGTATCTGTATTTTCGCGTGTGGATGATTTTAGCCTGCAGTGTTCACGTGTGACTGCTTAATAACTTAAATATAACCAGCTCATCAGCGGTTATCACTGCTTTTTTTGCTGAAACGACCTCCAACTCGGAAACTCAGGGCTTATCGAAATATCCGAGTTCCCCACTAGCGAGTCCGACAGTGTGGAGGAGTTCATGTGCGCCCAGCTCGTAAATACGATATTACCGACACGACTTGAAGGCAGCATAACCTCATTACTCACCATTTTTCATAACCGAATTAAAGAAAATCCAGTTGGGACACGCGGCAAGAGACTATTTTCGGTCTTGAGCTTCACAGAAAATATCAGCGGCTAACGTTAGTTGTCTGGAGTCTGAGCGGAGCGCTCGTTGCTGAGAAACGCTGAAGCAGAAGCGCTGAAACGAGGGACGGTGAGGGGGGTGAGCGGCCTCAGCGGCACTACATCCCTCCGCGGAGGAACACTAGTCATCAGTATTCATCAGAGGTAGTCAAATGGCCTCCTTAAAAACGTGTCAGCATATTAATTATAGATCTATCTGTTTACTGTTTTAATGTTTTATTCCAGCTAATTTCTTTCTTTCTTTCTTTTAAAAGGTCTTAGTTTTTGAGTATAATGAATTCCTTATCAGATATATTTATACTTATTTATCGGTTACTTTAACTTTTTTATTTCAGCTATTTTATTATTTATTTGTAGTTACTTTTTTATGTAATATTTGCATTTCTACATGATTTATCATTATAACTTAATGCCATTATAGCCTTATAACACATCTGTTATTGTTTTACATTTGTAATCAGAATAAAAAAGGTTTGTAGTTGATCATAATTGTACTTCGTTTGTATATTGTAACAGCATTTTGAGGTCTGATTTGTTACCTGAAGACTTTTAATAGAATATGTTGATAGGATGTTTTAATTTATTCCACGCACATATTTTAAGGCTGTTAGTTTCAGAAAACCGAACTGGTTAATGGTGGAAATATAGTCTATTTTTAGGCATATTTATATTTACATTAAGATGCTGCATAATTATAAGGCACCAAAATACTTAAATAATATTTTGTTTGTTAGACACACTCACACTCATAACATAAAAGGCAGCTCCTCAAAAACAATCAAGTATAGGTCATGTGATGACCACACAATGGAAAACGCATTGTATTTTATTAATCAAATAAATTAATAAATGAATCAGTACTGTCTCTTTTTGTCTGAGGTGTTAGTCAATAGTTAATTCATTTCTCACACATATCCATGGCAGCCTGGGCCCTATCATTGGCCACCAGTAACACTTTAGTCCAGACTAGGAGAATAGTGATGGATTCATATCATTTGAATTCAGCAGTAGATCAATGAACATGCCCTCAGTTTCCAAGCAGACAAAGCAATCCATGATCAATTAAAGCATAAATTAAAGTGTGTATACACACAATAACTTAAACATAACTTCATTAAATATGCTAATATGTCTTTATTCATTGTTTTAGCCAGATATAATGTCAAGGCAAAGATGAATGTAGTAAAGGGCCCATATCATGAATAGTTGAATATACCTTGATTTATTAAAAAAATAGTCTGATGTAGTATGTAAGCACTGTTAAAGTTTTGAAATGTACCATTCACTCCCTAGTCCAAACAGTTCAGCTGCAAATGGCTCGTTTTAAATTTATTGTTTTTGTGATGCCATGAAAACCAGTGCAGTTCCATATATCTGCCTATCCACTCTCCTTAAAGTTGGACCAGTACAGGCCAGCCAATCTGAACAGAGCTAATTTACTTATATCAGTCTTAAAGTTACAGTAACAAAAGCAGCCTGTTTATTTCTAAGGGAGAAAAAATAGGTTGTAAATGAATTCATGTAAAATGAATTATGACTTTTAGTACATAAATCAGTGGACCTCAGGGGAAAAAAAATAAAAAGAAAATGCAGATTATGGACTCTTCTAAAGAATTCTCATTGTACGTGAAAGGGTCAATTGTTGCAATATGTGTTTCAGTGCTATAAGTTACTGCCAACACAAGGAGAGATGACTCCCTCTGCTGACTAGAAAGTAGATTATCCATTGAGCAAAAAAAGACAAAGGAAGGGAAATACATCTGGACAGCCGTCATGCAGGACTCATACGTGAAGAAGTTTGTCGGCACCTGCTCCTTCGACGTGTCTTCTGAAAAGGGTATTCATAGAGCTTTTTTTCCCTGCTTTGCTGCAGAAGATTAGAAAATTGCCTCTATTCTTCTAGGAAGGCTTTATACTAGATGGTGGAACATTGCTGTGATGATTGAATTGCATTCAGCCACAAGAGCATTAGTGAGGTCAGCTACTGATGTTGGATGATTAGTTTTGAGTTTCTATGCTGGCATCTCATTCTAGCATAACATGTGCAATGCAGAATCAGCCCATGTGGAGTTTCCTCTCATAGCCTTTATGAAATGACACTGTTGGTTGAGACGGCTCACTGTGATCTGTAGCTTGTGAGGAGAAGGTTCTTCAGCAGAACGGAAGTTTGAGGAAGGCACTTTCCTGTTTGATAATGTCCTTGTGAACAAATAGTTTGCTGAGCTTGGTGTTGGAGAACTTGACTGGCCTGCACAGAGCATTGACCTCAATTGGACACCTTTGGGATGACTTAGAATGCAGACTGCGAGCCAGGCCTTATCGGCCAATATCAGTACCTGACCTTAGTAATGTGGCCAGGTTGCTGAATGGAAGTGAATCCCTGCAGCAATGTTCCAACATCTAGAGGCAACAGTTTCGTGGAAGAGTAGAGGCTGTTATTGCAGTAAAAGGAATAAGCTCCCTCTAACACCCTTTAGTGCAGAAGAATGTTGAATGAGCAGGTGTTTGGATACTTTTGGATGCATAGTATATCTGTGATGATAGTGTAGATGAGGTTAAAGAGACAATATCTACCGTAGACACCATGAGGTGATCTGCTAAACCCAGCTTTCTTTCACAGTGTTCATACCTGGGATATAGCTGAACCGTGGAGCATTCAAAGCTTCCTGAAACACAAACAGAAACAGCAAGAGGAAAAGATAGAGGATAACTTTAATCTGATACAGTATGACTCTATGGTAAATTATGATCTAACAAAGAAAATTTGTTTATAAATTAATAGTAGCAGCAATTTGATGTTTAAAATGTATTATAAAGTTAATATAATGCATAATATGATATGAGTTTTAGTACCTTGCTTACTTAGGTACTAAATAGGTATATGCATAGGTATAATACCTTGTATACATAAAATGAATGAATATATGCATTATATCACATGCAATATATGCCAAAAGTGAAGACTACATTTGCCACACAGGGTTACAGGCACAGTAACACAATATGATGTAAAAAATGATTATGGTTATCCAAATATCTAAAATAAAAGCAGGCAAACAGGTAAATAAACAATAATAAGTCTAATTTTGTTATTGATTAACAAACAAATTTAATAAACAAATTAATAAATACATTTCCAGTATTACTCAAAGTTCACATAAACATGAAATGTCGTTTTATCTCATTTTTCAGGGTTTTTTTTTTTCCCCATGCACTACTGGGTGTGGGCGGCCTCCAAAGACTGTAATCAATCCTTGTTTTAGGTTTGTTTCAATAAAAGTCAGTTGTGTGTTGCCTCAGATTAGTGCTGTCCTGGTCCATCCTTTAGATTTACATGTCTGAGTTCATATGATAAATGTATCTATTTCAGCAGCACGACCTGAATGACTGTACGCACTTAGCGTAGTAGCACAATAACTTACAGTTGCGGCTGGGAGTGACAACAACGAACTACATTAACCATGATGCATCTGGTCTTTAGGAAAGTTGGGGAACAACATCGCATCGGCTCTTGGATCTAACGATCTGTCATTTGATTCTCAGTCAGAGTTTAAAGTCATGACTTAGATTTTCACCCCGCAGTACGTCTCGAACCGACAAGGCTTTTTAAGAGCTGAGAATGTTTCGCCGATGGTCTTCGAACTTTCTCTTCACGGAAGTACCTGCATCCTACACTACACGTACGAATGAAGTCAAAGCTCTGAATGAAGGAAGCGAGTATTGTTTGCGTCTCTGTGTATTAAACCCTTGATATACTCTTAGCGTCATGGATTTAGCGAGTGATTTACTTCCATCAGTTGGTGCTGACGGGCTGTGCTGTGAAGGAGTAGTGCGGTGACCTTTAGCTGCCTTGCCACGTAAGTTATGCTGACGTCCAGCGGCAAAGCAGAGATTTGCTGCCTGTTCTCTGTTAAGATGCTAGTATGGACAGATTTTTAACAACTGTGGCCTTGTTATATTTTTTGGGTGGAGATTCTTCTTCTCGACAACGTGTAGAAGTTATGTTTATTTGACTTTAATGGTAAACCCTTATATAACTGAAGAAAATGTAGTAAAGCTATAATAATATTAATTCTATAGTACTGTCATATAGTAATCCATAATACTTGTGTAGTATCCTGTAGTAAACTACAGTAATTTACATAGATTTATTACAAGGTTCTTATAAAAAAATCTATAGCATTGCTATAGACTCTTTCACTCTCTCTTCCACTTTGCTTGGAGAATCCGGCCGAGAGATAAGGCCTGAAAATAAATGAGCACATTTGTATGTATGTGGGCATAATCTGCAAGAAAGCAAGCAGCTGAGATGAGATTAGCCAAGATCAAAAAGTATTCCACTCAAACAGTCAGAGATGTAACCTTTTAAAGAACTTAGGGGATTTAATCACAGTGATCTAGCACCCAAACTTTGGAGCCAGCCAATTACCTGAATCCTATCATTCTTGTTATCTTCTGCTCTACTTCACGCCCCCAGTGATCAGACCTATCCTGTGGCTAGGCTGGAAGCCAGGCTGGACCCCGGAGTAAATCATTAATCTCTTGAGCTGAGGTTTATCTTCAATAACATCCTATGCCGAAATTTTGGGCAGCAACAAAACTGGGAGAAAGTTTAGTTTTCCAAGGCAGAAAGCTATCATAGGATGAAGACAGTGTAGGGAATAGTACATAGCTGCATGTGTTTCAGTTATACAGTGTATCCATTAATGTTTAGGTGATATTACAGTGTGTCTTTAATCAGTCTGCTGCTCCTTTGAAAGCAGCAGTAAGACAGAGAACAGCTCCAGGTTGACCATTAACCTTATTATTGATTACAGCTTTTTCTCCTATCCTACCGGCTCTGTGCTGTTCAGCGGATCCCAATGCAAAGTTCATATCTCTCTGCTGCTCAAGCTGAGCACTAACTTGGTGTTTGGCTGAAAACTATCTCGAAGACTCATTTGTCAGTATTGGTGGAAAATTCAAAGGAACCATGGCAAAGTCTGGATATGGCTACTACAGGACCACTATTTTTCTTGCCATGTTTGTGGGCTACACATTGTATTACTTCAACAGGAAGACGTTTTCGTTTGTGATGCCTTCCCTAATGCAAGAGATCACGCTGGACAAGGATGACTTGGGTAAGAGCACCTTAATTTGTGTGTTATTTTTGTTGATGCCTTTTGTATACATGTTATAGGTCTTATTTTTTATTTTCAATTCATTGAGGTTATCACAACTACACTCTCAAAAAAGGTTCCAAAAGGATTTTTCAAGCAATGCCATGGTAAAACCACTTTAATTCCCTAAAGAAACATGTTTAAAGGAAGATATTTGTGACTGTGAAGAACCTTTTGAAGTTTTAATGAACCATTACATAATGTAAAGGTTCTCTCTCAATTTAAAGGTTTTTCTTAAAACTTTTACATTATGTGGAAATCCTCAAATGTTTTGAAAGTTTACACATCTCATTCACAAAAATGGTTCTCTAAAGAACCATCCATTGGAAGGTTCTAAAATTAACCAAAAGTGGTTCTTCTATGGCACTGTGCAAAGAACTCTTTTGGCACTTTCATTTTTAAGAGTGTATATGGTGGAAATGTTGCACTAGGAATTACGTCTATAGCAGATTCATATTGTAGCATCAATGTTTAAGCTTTTACATCCTTTTTGTGACTTTAGTTTTGTTGTAGTTGCACTCGCTGTATATCCAGACAGTAACAGAACTTCTAGTCACTTAAGCCAACCTGAAATGACAGATGATACGAGAGCTGTTTTCTCATATCCTGCCTCATATTTTTCAGAGACATGTTCTGAAATATAATGGCTTTCTCCACAGGCCTGAAGATTTCATGCTTTATCTTTGTGCATTGTAGGTCTTATCACCAGCAGCCAGTCACTGGCCTATGCTATCAGCAAGTTCATTAGTGGGGTGCTCTCTGATCAGATAAGCGCAAGATGGCTTTTTTCCATTGGCCTCTTTATGGTGGGTGGCATCAACGTGCTGTTCTCCTGGTCCTCTACTGTGGCTGTGTTCTCTGCCCTCTGGTTTCTGAATGGCCTCGGCCAGGGCCTGGGGTGGCCCCCATGTGGGAAAGTACTGCGCAAGGTATGGATGTGACCCTCGTGACCGCGGCCTTGATCCTCTGCAGTGAAGTCATGCTGTTGTGACTGCTATGATAGAGGGAACAAAAGAATTACTGTTCTTGAATAATTGATGTATCATTGCCCAACCCACAAATGCAGTCTTCTGCAGCAACTGTTGCAAAAATGCTGCTTCACCTTAAGAGGAATTGTACAGTTTTTCAAAACACTTAAATTTGTTTTGATTTGTTGTGATTTCCAACCTGCATAGTTTTTTATTTGCTTAAACAACATAAAGTGATTCAAATTAATGTTTGACATATTAGTTGATGTTTTTAGCTTCTAGCAGTTTCACAGCGACTTTTTCACTAGAGAGGCCTGGTACAGAGCTGCTGCCGCTATTTTCCATTTGTAACAACCCAATGATTAAGTTGTCGCTTGCATTCAAAGTCACTGATATATCTAGAACTTTCAGAAGGCCTTGAGCAGTGGTCATCAACCCTGGTCCTGGAGATCTGCCTTGCTGTGGAGTCCGGTTCCAACCACAATCTGCCACACCTGCTCCAGCTAATTAGATAGGGTAGATCAGATGCATAATTGTTATGTAGACTGGATGCGGATGGAAACTAAACTCTGCAGGAAAGTAGATCTCCAGGAAGAGTGTTATGACCACTGGCCTAAAGTGATGTTACTTGGTCCCATGCATTGTAAATGAAAACGTTGGTTGCTTCCTCTGTCATTTTGTTATTATGATGATGGTTAATCTAATGCATTAGGCCTTTCCTAACCAGTGGAAGTGCTTGCTACCTATCTACCTAGATACCACGGAGAACAACACTTCCCAATTGGCCAATTCTCCGCTTAGTGTTTGACTAGTCTTGTTTCCATCCAAAACAATGAAATAAAAGTAGTCTTTTAACAGTTGCAGGGTTTAAATGCAAGCATAATTCTATTGAATAAAACTGAAAATTACACGTTTTGTTAGTTCCCACAATAATTAGATTGATCATAATCTGATCATAATCCATATTGTTCGTATGATTCTATGATGTCCATATTTTTCCTTCCAGTGGTTCGAGCCATCTCAGTTTGGAACCTGGTGGTCAGTGCTGTCCTGCAGTATGAATCTTGCTGGTGGACTGGGCCCAATCATTGCCACCCTCCTGGCTCAGAGCTACAGCTGGAGATCAACACTGTCCACCTCTGGCCTGATCTGTGTGGTCATGTCCATCTTCTGCCTGCTGGTGATCCGTAATGAGCCTAGCGATGTCGGTCTGCCTAATATTGAAGCTAGTGCAAAGAAGAAGGGCAAAGCAGGTAGGAACATGTTTGTCACACAGTATAATGGTGAAAAGTCACCAGGGCCATTTAAGAATATACCACTGTGTTTTGTTTGCACTGAGCATTGTCCCAGTCTCACTGATGTAGGTCACTGATAATTTTACAAGCATTCAGGAGTAGCAGACTGTTAAGACAGCATGACCATTTCCTGATTCTCTCTATGACCCCAGCTTTAATCTGTAGAGGAGTTTGCAACAAATAGTAGACCTATGCATGTTGTCAACAATGTAATAACAGACGTGTGCTTTACTTTATGAAGTACATACTGTAAGCTGTTTGTACTTTCTTTGTGCCTGTTCTCCAAGAGAAAAAGGCCTGATCTTGCAAGTGTGAACTCTTGGACTCAACCGTCAGGCAAAGGTGTGTGTACAAGCTAACTCTTGTTCTTTTGTGTCCAAGGACAGTCACATAGTCGCATAATGGACTCTGTACTGTTCTGCCGCTCACACGAGACATGCATGGACAGAAATGGCATCAGTGGTGCAAAACAAAGTTAGATCACTTGTTGTTACAGTGATATATTCATTCATTGAGACAAAGCTAGAGGCTCTCTATAGACTGGCTAAGGCAGATATGCTTTTTGTTCACCAGGCTGGTTAAGGTTAGGCAGTTAAATCCCCCCAAAAGTTATACTGTTATTTATAAAAATGGCCAAAGGTATAGATGAAATTCAGAGTTCAGAGTGGCTGCTACTGCTGTTTTAGCTACGCAGTACACTTTTGTCTATTATAATGTATGGCAGCGTGTCATGCAGGGTCAGAACCCAGATAAGCAAGTCGATATGAGCTTTGATGGAAGAGTGTAATGATTTTGGCACACAGTTTGCCTGATTCTACTTGGTGGGTACAAGCTTTCATTACTTGTGAGCAACATTAGCCTTGTAGCTGCAGTGCAAAACTAAAGAAGAAACTTTGGACATCAAATATATCTTGACTGATCTACTACATTTAGAATTACAGTTAAGAAGAAAATTAAGCATATTTGTGCCAAATCATTGCTTCAATCCTCATTCATCACACAGATGATTTGTGATCATTTTATAATTACTGTGTAAAAGCTGTCCCTGAATATGTTCTAGACTCTGTGTTCAGATCAGGTCTGTGTTCTTGTACAGCATTTAGCTGCAGTTCATCAAGTTACTGTTTAGTTCCCTTAAAAACAAAAGTCATTTATCATCATTATTTTGAACTGTCCTCTGGCTCTTAATTCCAGGATCCAGTAAGGATGAGAGCACGCTGAAAGAGTTCCTCCTGTCCCCATATCTGTGGTTGCTGTCGCTAGGCTACCTGGTAGTATTTGGAGTGAAGACCACATGCACTGACTGGGGGCAGCTGTTCCTCATCCAAGACAAGGGCCAGTCAGCACTCATGGGTATTATGGTCCTCTATGTTTACACAAAAAGATCTAAATCAGGAGTCCAGAACTCTTGTCCTGGAGGGTCCACCACAGTTTAGTAATGTCCCTGTTTAAACATACCCACTAAACCTGGTGATTAGCTGCTTATTTAGCTAACTGTGCTGGATTACACCTGCCCCCTACCCATGACCAGTGTTTGAGACCCCTGATCTAAAGTTTTCAGTCTGTCAGATAAAAGGTTATTTTACTAAAGCAATTATTTTTTTTTCTTCATGTTTGTTGCCCTTTTATATATTTGTTTTATTTAATAGATTTATTAATATAAAGCTAATAATGCAGGTTGATAAATGTTGTTGTCGTTTTTTGTAATTTTCTTCATGTCAGCTGCACTTCACATTGACTAATGGATCAATAGAAACTTTCCAAAGTTTTTTTTCAGCTTATTTACATTGCATTTAAGTTAACAGATATTTCCTCCTATAAATTTACCATTTCTGACATACAAGGTTTTCTTACAACAGCGATGGTAATGATTTCATTAGGTCCATTAACTGCAGTTACTTGGTGTGTTAACAGAGTCTGACTTTTTCACAGGCAGCTCTTACATGAGTGCCCTGGAGATCGGGGGGCTGGTGGGCAGTTTAGCAGCCGGATATCTGTCTGACAGAGCTGTGGCACGGGTGAGTTTACATTTTAACACGCTCTAATTTGATAACGCTTTCTGGCTCTGAGAGAAATTCTTGAACAGTGACAGAATGGATTATTTGCAGTGACATGTAATTTTCCTTTTTCCAGCAAGGACTGCGTGTGTATGGTAACCCCCGTCATGGCCTCCTGCTGTCGATGATGGCAGGGATGTGCGTCTCCATGTACCTCTTCCGCACCACTGTTACTCAGGAAAGCTCAAATGTAAGTGCAGAGCTGTTTTAGTTATTTAAACAAGAAAGCCTATTTGCAGGGAACTGCTTATATTGTATACAAAGACCTATAATACAGCAAATAAAATTACAGAATAAAGAAAAATGTAATACATTTTATATTTACATTTATGGCATTTGGCAGATGTATTATATCTGTTATATCATTATCTAACAATGTAATAATAAAATAAAATCAAAGTATACTAGTATTAGAAAGATTACACTTTTGAATTGACATTTGAAATTCAATCTACATCACATCATCTGTAAAAATGAATAACTTCCTGCTGTATTATAAGAAATCAAGATTTTAAATGAGACTTCAAGATTAGATGTAGCATAGCTTACAATGACCTTCATTTCTCTCAGTCGTTGAAGTTAAAAATAAATGAACACATGAAGAGCTGCAACAACCCTTATTCTGTTAAAAAGGAATATCACATATTTTTTAAAATTTCTACATAATTATGTGGTTGAGATCATTTAGACTTCATATTTTGATATGAAATGTGTCATCGTAGAGAACTTTTTAGATTTGGATTTTCTTTATAGTGGTGGTAATAGGAACCGGGGGTTGCAATGTCTACAACACACATTCAACTTTTATATGTGTAAACCACCAGTAAAGCTACACATCTGAATTTTCACATGTACTGTTTATAATAGTGGCAAATCTGAAAGAAAGAAAAAAACAAAATGTTTTGGGGACTATTTTGATAAAACAACCTGCATGTACTCCTCCTCCACGTTTGGTTAAAAAATACATAGTAGACCTAAACCTCATCTCGAAACTATCATTAAACAATGTCTCAGACATCAGGCAGTTTATTCATTACCATTTCATATAATATCTTTCCGTGAGGGAGCTTTTAGAGGCTTTGAATGTCTGATTTCCATCACCACTGTAAACAATCCTGACTCTGTAATTATTCTCTAAAATGGTTTACATCATTTTACATCAAACCTCTCTGAATGAGTTTGTTTACATCTGAAATATTTAATTATGCATAATTTTTAAAATATGAATTCCACTTTAATTTAGTATCCATGTGTAATTCAACCTCTTTACAGGTTTGGATTCTCTCTCTTGGTGCTGCTTTTGGCTTCTCCTCTTATGGACCAATTGCTCTCTTTGGTGTCATTGCCAACGAGAGCGCCCCCTCTAACTACTGTGGGACTTCACATGCTATTGTTGCCTTGATGGCAAATGGTGAGATCTTGTAAAGACATAACTTTAATCATTTTTAGATTTCAACATGAACATTTAAAAAAATTCATCTTTAGGACTTTTGCATATCTTGATGCCTTTAGTGAAAGACCAGTATGATATGGATGTTTTTTTTTTATTTGTTTGGCAGTTGGAGGTTTCCTTTCTGGGTTACCATTCAGCACCATTGCAAAACACCATGGCTGGGACACAGCATTCTGGGTAGCTGAGGTGACCTGTGTTGTCACAACCATTGGCTTCTTTCTCTTCCGTAACATCCAAACCAAGATGGGACGCACACTGAAGAAGACTGATTAAGAAGCTTTTTTAGGTTTTTACAAGCACAAAGAGAGATTTTTGAACAAAAAAGTGGGGCCTTTTTATTTTCTACACTCTCAGAAAAAAAGGTAGTAAACTGTCACTGGGGCAGTATCCCTCTTGTCACTGGGGTGGGATCCTCAAGGGTACATCTCTGTACCTTTAGTCAGGGAGCATAATTGTATCATAATCCATTGAAATTATATTTTATAAGTTGTATTGACTCCCCACACCCCGTCTCGTCTCCAGGCTTTTTATTTTATTGTTCTGTTTTAAAACAGTAAGTTATGAAAAGGTACAAATAAGTACTTTTCACCTGGGAAAAATTTATTTAAGGTACACAATCAGAGCTTAAAACCACTGTTGTACCTTTGAGGGTACATTTACATTGTTTGTATCTTGTACCTGCACAGTACCTTTATTTCTAACAGTGTATGAAGCTGCAGTTTGGGCTATATTTCCTCTATAATGCATTGACAGAACCTCAAGAAACTTGTTTTGAAGCTCTAGTTGCCACTGTGAACATCTGAACCAAGAGCCTTCTTTTACACAAGGTAGTAAAATTTCCCAAAAGCTTGTCAGCACTGAAAGCACCATGTGTTACATGTGGTATACAGTGTCTTCAAAACACTATCTGTTAAGGTGATCTTAAGGCTATGATGCTTTTGGTAAACTCATCCTAGTTTGAGGCATCTAAAAGTAAAAAAAAAAGTTGTCTTCAAGAATAAATCAAAGCTGTCCGATCAAAACTTCCTAACCTCCTTTTTATTGTTTTGCTTTTTTGCTTAGTTTTTTTTATACCATTTGAAAATGCCAGTTGCTCTTTACATTGTGTGAACATTTCAGACCAATAGAAATGGTCCACAGTTACTTGGAAAGTCTGGTTACATTAACTTCAAATAAAATTAAGAACACTGAGCCTCATTTATCAACATCATCCTAAATTTTTTCTTTGTTGTTAAAATTCGTCCTGAGAAAAGGTCTACCTCAGATTCATGACGCGTTCTTAGTCTGCAGGATTGTTTGCACCTTTGTGCTCAAGTGTGTAGATTCTGTTCTTACCTAAGAACAAATCCCAAATAAGAAAACATTGGTGAATGTCAGAATCTTTGTGAAAACTGCATCATTGGGTTTTAAGAAGAAATTTCTTCTTGAGAACGGTTGGTGAATGAGGCCCATTATGTCCTTCTCCTGTAAAGTTACCAAGTCAGAATACAAGGTTTTGTCACAACAGCAATGCAAATAGTTGAGTGCCAATGCTTGAATACCCCTAGTCAAATTACATATTCTATGGATTTTTTTAGGTGAAAATAAGACAAAACATCCTCTACAGGCAACAAGCTTAGGTTTGTAATTTTTCTGCAGATTTAGGTGCGCAATATCTGTTTATTTGCTGAGAAAAAAAATAAAACATAAAATTTCCCATAACCTTTGCACAGGTCACATTTATATTTTTTGTTCCCCAATATGTGAGATTTACAGTAATTGTGCATTACATGTGCAGAGGTGTGTTCTCTGTAGAGGATGTGTTAACTTATATCCACATAGAATTTCAATAAAACATGTAGTTTGACCACGGGTGCCCAGACTTTTGCCTACAACTGTACGTAAACATGTTAAGTTTATGTGATGCACAGGATGTAGCTTTAATGAGTTTTAAGTACATGCCTTTACGTTAATTTTTAAGGATGTTTAATTAATACACTGTATGATCTGTATCTACTCCAATTCCTTTTTCTGAAGATTGTCTTAGTTGTACAAATGTCATTCTTTTCTGCTTTTATGGTGAATGCTGTATGATCCATGCAATACGATTTGTTGCAACAATGTACAGTTATTGCAAAGATGTATGAATTTGATTTAAAGCATCCCCACTACTGATATACACGATAAGCCTTTTTTTAGTACGGGAACACTAAAGAACATCACAATTGTAATACATGGTATTCATCATCTATTTTACGTTCAGGTAAATAGAGATTTAACTCCAACTGGAATGTGTGAGGCTTTTCAGAATTCATGATTCTACCTCTTTATTGTGTTATAAGTCTGTACATGGTGTTGTGGTAACGAAAACAGTTTTGCAAATACTGAACAAAACATTTATATTAACTAAAATAAACTTGTTACACACTGTTTCTTTTGAAATTTATAGTTCATAATCTTTCATCTTTAATTTAGGTACTAATAAGTAACAGTCCAGAAACAGAATGGTCTTCTATACAGAGTACAGTGCAGTGCTCAACAATTCATTTCAGCATTTTCACATTTGAAATTTACGGTGGAAAACAGTATTATTTCATCTGAATGACAAGGACAACACGTATCCCTAAGTCTTAAAAACTTTAATGCCTTTACATGCTTTCTTACAAAGTGGAGAGGCGAACTGGACTTTGAACTCATGTCACACAAATAAATTTGTTTCTGCTGTCTCAACACAATTTGATGGTCCATGAATTTCAAGAAGGTGACAATGACACGTGACGACAACTTTTACGGTCCCATTATCATCCACAATTTCTCAGTTACAAGCTGATTATTCCTCCTCTATTGTTAGACAGTTCAGAAAATCCACACCCCAGCAATGAATCCATATATACAGTAGAATCATGTGGTACTCCATGCCCCAGTACATTCCAGCTCAGGAACCTGGCCCAAATGTGCCAGCTTTCTCTGCTATTTCCAGGGCACTCTTCAGATTTTGGTCAAAAAGTTCGCATCTGAAAGAAAATGCAACACCATTCGTAAGTATTGGCTGGTGGATGGACACCCTGAGTAGATAGTGTTTCCTAACTCCGGTCCTAGAGGCCCCCCTCATGCTCTGCACATTTTAGTGTCTTCCCTGCTTCCAACAAACCTATTGCAGTTGATCAGCTCATTAGCACCCCTAACTGAGTTAAGGTCAGTGTGTTACAGCAGGGAAAGTACTAAAATGTATAGGGCAGCAGGCCTTCAGGACCAGGGGTAGAAAGCTCTGGTGTAGATGGCACATCTGAACACTACTACACCACCAACCTGATAGGCATCTCCAGGGAGTAGAAAGGATTCTTTAGGGCAAAATCTGAATAGATTTCATAGATCTTTCTCAGGAGCGCATCAATGCCAGACTGTCGAGGATCCGCCAGCACAATAAACTTAATACCTACAAAAACGAGAGAATCAAAATGAATGTGCTTCTGTTTATACACCATCCAATTAAACCACAGTTACATTTACAACTACATTATATTAAAGCAAATTAGTTTTACCTGTGAGTGTCTGAAAGCAGTGTAGTTTAAACATGTCTGTTTCCAGCATTTCAATACCTGAACTGCCAACTTCAGGTGACAGCTGTGAACCAATAGCAAATAGCCTATGGAAAAAAGGAAATTAAGTTATGCAATACATAATGTTTCACTGATACTGATTACATCCAATCCAGTATTTAGCAGAGGGTGCTACTACATCTGTACTGTCACTACTGTCTGACAGAGCTCAATTAACAATTCAGGAAAATAAGAACACCAAAGTGCACCCTAACATACACTATATGTCACATACATGTATGTACAGCTGCAGAAATGTACTTACGAGTGAAACATTGAAGCCAGCATCAGTTTCTCATTTGAGCTCAGCCGTGCTCTACCAAAACGTATGGACACCGGATAGTTAGAGGCATCTTTCAAGTACTCCAATATTTCCTTCCCTTCTGCTGTGTTTTTGCCGTTCACGTCAACTCCATTGATAGAAAGAACAGCGTGACCAACTGCAGAGATGTAATAAGCAGGAAAATCAGAAAGACTAATGGAGCACTAGCACCTCACTGTGAGCCATTCAATTACAGGGACAGATGACAGCACTGTTTTTCTTTTCAATCTGATACCAGGGCTAATATCGCAATACCAACCCTTTTATGAATAGGTTTTCCTGTGCAAGTAAAAAGGGAATTCTTTGTGACTTTTACCATAAATCAAAAACAGTTTTGCCTGTGTGAAAGCAGATAAAGAGGGCAGAAGAAAATGTAGTTTCTATCCAACACATTCATTTGTTAATGTATTAATAATATGAATTTTATTGAAAGATATTGGAACAAAACCTTATTTATTTATTTATTTAATTTATTTACACATAGTTTGAAAATGTCAGCTGCTCTTTACTTAGTAGCAGAATTTCATGATAAATGGACAGAAACTCTACTTGGAATACATCTTATTACATTAACTTGCATTAACAATTTTTAATGTTTTTTTCTTTTTCTGTTCCTATCTTGGAGATTTTGTTTCAACAGCAACCAACTATTATTATCATTTCTTATTATTTAGCACCAAAGACACATTCAGCATAAAAAAGTCAGATATCCCATTTACTGCTTAAAGGAAACACTTGGTATCGATATTTTCATGTGAGGACCGATTCTTGAAAAGAGACTTCAGGATCGGAAGTATCGATACTTGAGTATCGACCCGCCCGTCCCGACCATTCAGTGCAACAACAGTAATCGGTGCTCGGTCGCTGCTCCTACATTGGTTACACTTCAAATACAAGGACGTCCATATTTACATTTTGTACAAAGACACAATTTCAAGTTTACTGATATGTTTAAAGCAGCTATGAAAGATAAAGCAATGCGTAACATACGAGGCTGAAGTTGGCTTCCGATTCGCTGGCTTCTTGTTTCAATTTTCCCGTTCCACCTTAAATGACTTAAACGGCGCAGTAGTTACATTGTAATGCCAGAATGTAACCGGGCACCAATTAAGGTGGAACGGGAAATTTCGACCAAGAAGCCAAATTCAGCTTTGTAGTCAGTATTACTGATCAGATGTTAGCTGGTAGCATAGACACACTGACGAAGCGCCCACCTCGGATGCCATCCCGCTGTCCGAACGACACGACCACCTTGTCGTCATGAATCTTTAATACTATATCTAAAGGAAAGCTAAATGTTTTCTCAACTTCTGTTCTAGGGACATAGTTGTCGTATTGGTAAATGAGTCCCCCCGCCTTGTTGATAACATAGACACTGAATATCGCCATCTTCCTCCTCCTGAAGCGAGCAGCTGACCTGGGAGAATATCACGTGACTAAATGTCGTTGCAGAAAATATTGTACGATTATAATGTTATATAAAGCACCAGAGCGTCTATTTAATCGTAAATAGTTCTGTTTTGTTAAATTATATCTAGAAATATATAGTTCTTAACTTGGAAGAATGGTAAAGTACGTGAAAGAAAATGTTATTTTAAGACGACATAGTCCAAAAACTACATTTCCCACGACAACAGCTGAGCGCACTCCGTGGTTCAAGTGCGCATGCGTCTCCCTTTTTTACGGCATCTTCAACGTGGTACATCATGGTCTGTTTAATTCCTTATTTTTTTAAATTAAAAATGAACTATTTTTACACAGTTGAAGAAGTAGTGTATTCATACGTTGACATGTTCTAAGGAGTAAGAGAAGAATATTAAATTGTCGCGTTAGAAGACAAAATGACAGCAGTCAGTTGGATGTGAGAGTTTCCATTCATAAATACTGTATGGAATAGCAGTGTAGCTGGATTCTAAGAGGGTGTGTTTGTGCCAGGTGGACCGTATGTTCACTAATATCAATCACCGTTGCTCTTAGTGTATGACAGCGTTCAGGCAGTCGATCCCTTTAAGGTATGAAGTAATCAAACGGTTGTCTTACCTTAAGAGTCAGTTGTAGTGTGTCCTAACTTACCTGTAAGGCCCTCTTCATAACTGACGTGGCTCTGACAACAGTGCATATGTAAGATATATAGTTTGTATATGTTCATATAAAACATATGCAAAGAAATAACTAAACCAGTGCTCCTTTCTTGATATACACATGTAGTCTTAAGATACCCTCATGCCAAATAAAGATAGCATTCATTTTGCACTTCAGCTGTTTCAGTAAATGTTAGCATTAAATATATTTATAAGTTATGTTCACATAATGTCCATACCATGATGGCAGACGTGCAAGAGGCCAGTGCAGGCAGTACAACTGTGGGCTTTACCTTGTAAGAGTTAATAATAGGGATGTAACATGAAAAAGGTAGGTTTAGACCAATTATTAAAGAGTCTGTAAACAAGAACCACCAGTACCAGGCAGTAACTGCATAAACTATACAGTTAAAATTAGCCTAGTAACAAGCTTCAGTGTCAGCCCATTATGTTATTATCACATTTTAATATTTTTTTTACCAGTTGTTTGATTGTCCCTCTTGTTTTTAAATAAATATTTCTTTCGCACATTGGGGAAAAAAATAATGTACCCATTTTTTTATTAGCACTTTTTAAACATTGTACTGCTGTTTTGCTGGTGCGTACTGCCTTTTCTAACTTGGTTTGAAAACTGTAGAAAAATCAGTATTGTAATATATGCCGTGTATCATTAAAATGCCTTCAGTATTTGTGATGTTATATCTTTGCCATATCACCTACCCACACTTGCTAATCCTAGCCTTACAGGGTATGTTGTTGGGTACAGCTATAATGTAATAATTAACTAATGTATCTGTATGCTCTTTAACTCTGTTAATGCCTTTGTTGTGAATGCAGCCTCCAAAGACGGATAAGAACAAGAAAGATGCTGGCAAGTCGAAAAAGGATAAGGACCCAGTCAACAAGTCCGGAGGCAAAGCAAAAAAGAAGGTCTGTTTATTTACTGGTTTGTTTAAATCAATCAGATGAGTGTCTGAACTAAGTGTGTTCTGTTTCTGATCAGTGTTTTCTTCCCTTGTTCTGTGATTTTTTTTTCCTTGAGCAGAAGTGGTCCAAAGGGAAGGTGAGGGACAAGCTTAACAATTTGGTGCTCTTCGACAAGGCCACCTACGATAAGCTTTATAAGGAGGTGCCTAACTACAAGCTCATCACTCCTGCAGTTGTGTCTGAAAGGCTGAAGATAAGAGGTTCACTAGCCAGGGCCGCACTCCTGGAGCTGCTCGGTAAAGGTAAGGCCTTATTTTAAAGAATGCATTATTCATTTCAGATGTGTTTGCTTTATTGTACTCATCATGATAAAGCAGTATTAGCATCACCCCTGTAATTATTGTTTTATTACAGTTTTACTACATTTCTGTAGGTTACCATTAGCATAAAGAATGCTTCCTCACACTCTCTTAACTCAGTCTAAGTGTAATTAAGTAGGCTTATGTTCTGCTTAAATTGTTGGCCTTTCTTCATTCTAGGCATGATCAAGCTGGTCTCCAAGCACAGAGCACAAGTGATCTACACTCGCAATACCAAGGGTGGAGATGAGACAGCTGCTGAGAAAGAGACATAATAAGGTAGTCTAGGAAATAAAAAAGTTCTACTTAACAGCATAGGAAATTCTTCTTAGGGTAAACTTGCTAAAAAACGAATGTTACAAAGTGTTTGGAATGACAAACATTTTATTTCCAATTCTTTTAAATTTACAGGTTTTCTTTCAGTGTTTCCTGTGCGGATCAGTGGATTGTAAATAATTACAAATTAAAAATAATGAAAACGGCATCAGACTGGATTTTTTGTTTTTTATTTAAAACATTAAATTAGCAGTGTTGGAAGTCTAGAAGAGCTGCAGCACCACCAAGTGTAGTCTTTATCTTGATTTAATGCATAATTCAACTCATCATCTTTACCAAGCCCTTTATGAGTTGTTATGAAAAGGTCAACATGCACCCTTCGGCACCTGAAATTGACCAAGTGGTGTATTTATGTTCTACCTAAAGAAAATTTGAGAATTAAGTAATTCTTAGAGTGCATAAGACTGATGAATTGAGCTAAACATACTTCAAGTTTCATCCACTTGCTTAAAGCCTTTTTTCACATCTACATAAATTATTGAGATGTAAACAAAGTCATTTAGAGTGGTTTAATGTGAAATACAGCTTTCTAGAGAAATTCAGAAATGCAGAAAACAAGACTTGTGAAACTAGACATCTGAAGTGTTTAGTGCCTATAAAAGCCCCCCTCACAGAAAGTTTTTTCACAAAATTTTTATCAATATACTGTGTGATGCCTGAGACATTGGTTTATGATAGTTTTGAGATATTTTGTCTAAAACATCATTTGTAAAGCACATTCATGGTGGCGAGACACATGCAGAGCATGGTAAGGCAAAATAGTCCCCAAAGAAACTTTTTTCCAGATGTACCACTGTTTTACCATCATCAGCGTTATATATAAAAGCTCAAAGGATTTTTTGTGTAGAATCACTGATTCTACACAGGTCTCCAGTGTCTATATAAAAATGAACACTGGGGGTAACTAGTTTAGACACGTAGGCATGGTGTACGCATGTTAGGCAGATATATGGAAGCTACAGATTACATTTGGGATTTCTGCTGTTTTTTATTTTTAAAGAACAGTTAATCTTTAATTTTCAAACAATGTATGTTTATAGATAGAAACAGGGGAAATCACACATGTAATGGAGTATGCATGTCATGTGTGCATGTGAACATTAATTTTAATAGCCCACAGTAAGTCTTGAACCACATCTGCGCAACCTTAATAAAGACCTGGCTGTTTTTTAGATATGTATTTACAGAAAAGATTTATTTTTGTCCAAAGGCTTGTAGTTACATAAGCCTCATAGCTCCAGGGCTAAACTAAAGAAGTAAGATTTTGACACCAAACGTATCTTGCCTTATCTTCTACTCTGTGGTTTTACAAGTGGGAAATTGTGTTTTTTTTCTGCTAAACTATTTGTTTATTTGTAAACAGTGAAGAGTTCATACCCTCCAGCCTGCCTTCTCTGATCCTTTTTCAGAAGAGTATATTCCTGTGGATAGTTACTTATTTCCTGCTGGTGTTTATGTTTATATAATCTTCAAGCAGAGCTCGCATAGCAGTTGTGGACATTTAGTTTTTACTCAGAACTGGGTTAATATGCAGAGTTGCTCCTCTGTAGGAGTGTAGGAGGCATGATTCCTCCCTCATGGGACGCACTTTACTGCAGATGCACATACACATCATTTCACATGTTGTATTTACTTAGCATCAACATTCTCGCATCTAATGAAGCGTAACCGAACCTTAAGTAATTCTGCAGGATGCCATGTTTGTTTAGCTTTAGATGATTTCATCTGTGTAATTATCTTAGATGCCTCTACCTGGTGTGATATTTGCATTTCGGCCAGCATTTTAGTTCATCACTATTAAATGTTTTTAGTAATTAAAGTGCCCTGTTAGTAGGTACTTGATTCAATGCAGACATCCAGGAAACCTTGTTTTTTATTTTAATTGTTTGTTAATTTGCCAAAAATATTTATGCTTGTCTAAATTAGAGAGATAAATTCTTGACCAATAAATAATATCACTTTTTATAATACAGACACATGCACTGAACTTGCCAAATAGCATACCCATCTTCACATCTTTAGTTAAACATGTTGTAATGTAGTGAACATACATTTTTGAGTTTTGTGTAATACATTAGAGGACACATTCCTGTTGCCTGCTGTAAATGGGAGAGCATTAAGAATGCAGTATGTATGTGTTGGCTTTAGCTACAGGCCTCTGGTGGTTGTTGATGAATTTCAGAGTGCTTCAAGTTCTGTCTTTATGACTTATAGACAATAAAGAAAACTACAGCTTGAGCCAGCACCCTTTATTGTCCTTGCTGCCCCCAGGCCTGGTGCTTGAGGCATGGGGAGAGGAAAGGGTATGGGGTCAGCTGTTGATGGATGCTGTCAGCTGTTCCACTTGTCATTGCACAGCACCACCTCCAGCTTGACTGGAAAAAAGCTCCCCAGGATGCACTCTATGACTGCTGTCTTTGACAGATGTGCAGTCTTTCCTGCTGCCATCATGTTATTAAAAACTGAAAAAAGTCCAGCGGTCAGACTCCATATCACATTTTCTTCACTCAGTGCCCTACATAAGACCGTCCTTTTGGGAAGGTTTTGAATGACTACAGTTTTGCATTAACATGCGTTTTGAGAAATCCTTTAATCTGTATTGAGTGCTACAGTCTGTTTTATACTGCATTTTTCCCTTGTAGACAGAGGTATGACATTTATTTAGAGACTCTTTGAGGCATCATAAATATTATTAACACCAAACTGTCTACTA